GTGGTTTTTTCCCCCCCTGAAATACGTGTGGTGAAAGAAAGACTGTAAAAAGAGAAGCAGGTGGAAAAGCTGAAGCCGGAGGAGTGTTGTCCCTCTGCCAGTGAATAGCGTAGCAGGGAATATATGTATTCCAATCTAATTTGCATAATTTAATGACACATTTCCGAATGAGGAAATTTTAAATCCTGGCACAAACTGTAACACAAATTGATGCTTCAGTTTTGAATGAGCGGTATCGCACGGTCAAATCCCTATCAGCCCTGTGCTCAATTCGCAAGTCCCGAGTCGTGTGCCTCTGACCATCTGCTCTCTAACCCTGACCAGGCTACACAGATGACTGCACTACCACCCCTGGATTATGGCATCAACACACACACCACCCACACACACACACAATAACACGTGCATCTTGGATTTCATGTTGCTGCCAAGCGATGACAGCATGTTTGTGTTTTCTCAGCAGTATTCTCAGCCAGTACAGTCGCTTAAAGCAAGAGATTGGTACGAACTCATTCTTTCACATTACCCTGAATAAAATATGGGACACAAGATTATTATTATCTGCCAGTAATTTTCACATATTTCATTCATACCGGATCGCTTCTTTCCAGAACAGACCCTTGGGCGCAATGTGAAAATTGGGGATATTATGAAATTAGAGAACCACTAAAACTCATTTTGAATAGCAGGTTGTGTGAATTCTCATTTTTAAGGGGTGTCTCTGGTACAAAGCACAAAGCAGAGATGACAATGATAAGTCAGAGTACGACTTCCTACCCAATCAGAGAATGACATCAAATCCTCTTATACTCTCGATCTGGATCATGTTTTGAGTTCATATGCTTTGACCTACAATAGAGAGCATGTAGTGGAGTCTGTACTCGCAGCAATGAAATAATCATGATCAACATTTCCAGTTTCATTTCTTTCCACTGGTGCAGTTCTCAACCTGCCTGTTTGGAGTGGGCTGTTTGTTTGGTCTGTGGTGAAGCTGGCTGCAGCATCAGTCCACAAACTCAACACTGGAGAATCAGTTGTTGTCGTGATCAACAACGTCACTGACAGAGTCCCAGCTCTGTTTATTCAAACTGTATTAATATTGAACACACAGTTAACCTGTTAATCTGTGCTCTCACATATTGTAACATCAGAACAATTTCATAAATGACTGACAGAGATCTTAAAACAGGAAGATATCAGAGTTTGAGGCCATTTTTAAAAAGCCCAGAATCTTTACACATGAATGAAACACTGCTGTGTTCAAATGTTTATGTGTATGATGACGCTGTGGTGCTGCAGCAGGTTGAGAGAATATGGCAACTAGAGCACAACACACACACACACACACACAACCACACACACACTACAGTATTTCACTATCTCTGTCTCTTTCAATTTCTTCGTCCAGAAATACATGGGGAGCTCAGAGGTCTATTTCTGACTCACTCCAACACTGAAGTCAGTCAGGCATTGCTGATGAAACACACACACAAACACACACACACTGAGGTAGGTAATATATTTCCCATATAGCGTTCTCCTGACAATGCGAAATGACACGCTGCCCTCTCTGTTTCCCAGCGACTTCAGTCCTGACTCAATGTGGACAGGCTACAAAATCAGCATTTATGAGAAGAAAATATCCTCTGCCCACTTCTTACACTAAATGCCACTGCCCTGAATTCTAATTTATATAAAACTTGTTGCCATAGCAGCAAAAAACCTACATTGCTCTGGTTTTGACAGAGGCGCTGAATTAAGGCAAAGGCATCACAGAGTATAACTAACTTGTCCCCCTGCACCAAAAAAAAAAAAAAAAAGAGGGAATCATGGCAGTGAAATCCATGCAAATCCTGAACTTCACAAAGGGCCAGAAAGCAGCTTTGTGGGATTAAAAATTACTGCAAGAAGTCATAAATAACAGTCGCAGCAAAACAAGTCCTGCGTCACAAATCATGACGATTCACAGCCACAGGAGAAATGCAATCAATGGGCGAGTTACTGAAAATGCGTATAAAGCCATCGTTTGCGTCCGAGCCAGGTCATGGCTGAGCGGAACCGACAGAGCAGCTGGTTGATGAGTCCGATAATCATCAGAAATGGAAAAAAGGGGCCAGAATGTCAGAATAATACATTCACACTTAAGAGATCTTGACGAATCACAGTTCGCAAACAGACGAGTGTTATACACAAGAAGACACTCAGGACTAAAGTAGGCCAGTCAAAAAAAAAAAAAATGGAATGAAAAATTCAGATGTGTCGATTCACTCGCTGTGTCTGAGGACGACTCAAACACATCGAGCTGGAAATCAATCGGCCTGGGGAAAGATTTCAGGGTCGCTATTTATTCCTGAACACAGCTCCGAGTCCACAGAGATCAGTGGTCAGCGTGAGCAGATGTCGAGTCCCCTGCTTTGTTTTGGCCTAATACAACAAGGCACTGGAGTTAAAACGGGATCAGACGTGTGGGAATCATGTGACTCGACTCGTTAGAGTACGGTTGTCTTGAATTTCCTGTTTTCTGACGCCAACATCAACCTTATCGTGTGTTAAATATTCAGCGATGCTACGTTTCACACTGTTGTGTTTATTTTAAGCCTCGGAACTGAGACGTTTTCACGCAGCCAAACATGTCACGAACTTCAACGTCGACTCTTTCATCCCGTTGCAGAGCAGTGATCTGCGATGTACCTGTTTAATTACCTGGCCCTGTCGCATTCCATTATATTTTATTCTGCAAAACAATGTAAAGATAAAAATGTCTCCATTTCCACTCAAATGTCAACTATTTTTAACTGAAAAACCTCGTGGTTTATTGGATTGAATTATATTCTGGATTAACTCCAGAACGATGTGCTGATTTGTGCATTTAAATTTGCAAATAATCCTTTTAGGCATCGTGTTTACACAAATGCATGTGGAAATTGCTCATTTAATTGCCTCTATATGACACAACAATACAGTTTTAAACCTGGTTTCTGTTTCCTTGGTGATATCTGAACAATAGGGTAGAGGATGGAGGGTTTTTTTTTTTATTACAGTACTGAGTCTATAAAGTGAGGAGGCATGACTGGATATTAAATCTGCTGTTTTCAATTATGTATAAAAAGCCTGCTGGTAAAATAGAAAACCAAACCGTGAGAAACGAAAATAACTTGTTGAGAAAACCGGAGAACATGTTTGTGTCACTTACTGTTGAACACTGTAGGAGTACCGCATGTTGTATGGAGAGTTAACTATCAAGGTGAGAAGACTTTTTCATTTCAATGTGACTTTAAAGAGCCCTCACTGCACCGAGGCTTGGCACACACCTATCGCCCAAGGCTGCTGAATGATGATTTTTCTTTCAGCCTGCACTTCCTCAGCACAAAGAGATATAGCGAGAGCACAAATCTTATGGTGGGAGTCCTTGGGGGGGGCGGGGGGGCTTGAGGTGTCAAACCCTTCAGTGGAAAAGAGATGGAGGAGAAGGGGGTGGGGGGGCATCTCCCAAGAGCCACCTGGAAACATGGGAGGGACCTGATAGAACTCCAGCTTGAGGATAATGACATAGGGGAGCCACAAACATGCTTCAACCCCGATGGATGTTGTGGATGGGGAGGTGGGGGGGAGGTGTGTGTGTGTGTGGGAGGGGGGGGCTGCTCTGTTAGAAGTTGGAACCCTGTCATTTGCCAAGTGAGAGATGAGAGCATTGATCCTCAAGGCAAAAAGAAAGCGTTTGAAATGCCCTTGAAAGCCCAGAGGTACAGTGAAGCAGTCTTCAGACATGCAGCCCCGATAATGACTGTCACGTATGAAGAACGCCGCAGGAGATTGTCCGGAGCGAGCGTTCACAACAACAGGGAAATCTCCGGAGCGTCTCCTGGGACACCTGAGATGTATTAACATTCACAGTGAACGCTCAGGACGACATCACGCTGCACATGGACCCCACTCAGACATTTTCCAGGGGGCTCACAGGGAAAACTCCAGAGATCGTCCAGAGACGCTCACCCGGACATTTGCGTCCTCGCACACAGCTCCTCCAGGGAAATTTCAGGAGAATGTCCAGAGTTCATTGTCGGTCTGAAAGCAGCTGATGTGGACAAATCTAAAATCCTTCTGAGCCAAAGCAAACAGAAACGTCTCAATCAACTAATCCCTCTGAATCAGCCCCTAAATCTAATATAAACTACATCCACAGGACCTGCTGTCTTAGAAATAAAGATCGTGTGTCGGATGCAGCACACGTCCTGTTCTCATGTGATGAAATATTTTGAAAAAGCAAGTGATGAGGAAATCTGGCCTTCTTGTTTTCACCTTGTCTTATTAAGAGATCAGATGAGTCGCTTTGTTCAGCTGCATGATTATCTAAAAAGGCCCCAGAACAACATGAATGTGGCCAAGTAAAACAAAATGCCTGCACAGTCTGTGCTGCTATAAGTGATTAATGACTGATCTGATTAATGTCACGGCTAATGACCCGCTGTGGATGGATGCAGCATTCAAACAGAACGGGTTCGGCTTCAGGAAGCGTGGCGAGAAACCGCTTTGAAGAATTTCCCATTTCCACACGCATTTGCCTTTAGACTTCAGAGACGAGCGTGCGTGGCAGGTATCGAACCATTTTAACCAAGAGTGGGTAGCTGCTGTTCAATTCGGCGTGTGACTCGGAACACAGATCGGCACATGTTGGATTTAGAATCCAACTTTAATTAGGATTTCAAGCCATTCCTTCTTTTTGCACCCCCCCCCCCCCACCACATACAGCTGTGGTGAGCAGATTACAGAATTAATGAGTCAGAGGAATTCATGTTTGAAGATTAGAGAGTGTGAAGAGTCAGAGGAGAGGAAGCACATTTTCATACAAGTGCTATAGGGGGTGAGGGAAGGGGGGTGCACCTGTCCTAAAATGGGCTGAATTCTTAATGGAGTTTGGTGCTGAGTTCAGGTAAAGGGTTCAAAGACAAAGATCAGAGGATCAGGCCTCTCACACACGCGCACACGCACACCTTCCTCACCTTGGTTAGCTGTGCTATCTTCTTGCTCATCTTCAGGTGCAGGTCCTGGGTATATTCCAGGGTGATGCCGGGCTGGAAGCTGGGTGTCGTGGGGGAGGTAAATTTCCCCTGCCCGGCAGCAGCAGGGCAGTAATACGGCTGCCAACCCGAGCCGGTCGCCATCTTCACGATGATGCCTCACAGAGAGGACCGCTCGGTGGTGGTGGTGATGAGGAGGAGGAGGAGGAGGATGATGGTGGTGGTGGTATTAAAGAGACGATGGAGCGGACGGTGCTGGTGAAGCAGCCGGAGAGCGGCGGTCACCGCTGGGACGGAGCGGTGGTTCCTCCCCACCCCCCCTTTCCCTTCCCCCCCGTGACACTGACTATCAGAAGCCGCTCTCTGCCCGGACGCGGTTCTCACCGGGGCTCATGTTCGCTCGTGTCCGTGTTAAATCACCCCACAGGCGGGTTGTTCTGGTTCTAAGCCCCGCTCACGTCAGCTCGCTTCATCCTGTCTGTTCTCCGAGCCGCGGCTCCGAGCTGCCGTCACCTGCCGCCGATGTGGAGCTGTTTCCCCGGCTGGTTGGTTCCACCCCACCCCCCCCCGGGTCGGTCACCTTGATGCCGGGGTGTGTCAGCGGTGGGTCGCGGTGGCTCCTCGGTGCATTGCGGCTACGGTAGCGGGGGGAGAGTGCGTGTGTGTCGGACTCTCGCTCGCTCGCTGCTCCGCTGTTGCCATGGATCACCTCAACACTCTGCGCTGCGTTCACGGACCATGGGAGCAGCGCTGCGTTCACGGGCTGTGGGAGAAACACAACCGAAGACAGCGACGTGAGACGTTCGCAGGGTTTTCAATTAATCAATCAATCAATCAAACTTTATTTATACATCAACTTACAAACAAATCGACGTGCCGTTTAAATTAACTGATGAATGAAGCAGTGGAGACAAAACAAACAAGCTAGCTAAGTTACATTAAAAAGCCAGACTGAAAAGATCAGTGTTTTGTTTATTAAAGGTTCAGTGTGTAGTAATTAGTGACACCTAGTGGTGGAGTGTCATGTTGCAGCTGAACACCCTTCACCTCACCCTCTCCTTCCGAACATGAGAGAGAACATGTGGCAGCTTCAGTTTTCATAAAAACTCAAAAGATGTTTAGTGTGTTCAGTCTGGGCTACTGTAAAAAACATGGCGGCCTCCGTAGAGAGGACCCGCTCCTGATGAAAATATAAAGTATTTCAATATAAAGGCCCACTCTCAGGGAAAGAAAACTACAACTGGTACAATTTAGATGAGACACACTAGTGAAAGCATCGCTTTAAATTATTTCATATTCAATTTCGTCCAATTTCACTTAAGTCTTACACACAACCTTGTTTAAAAAGTGAATTTGAATGAAAATTTAAAACATTAGCTTCATATATGAAGACGGACTGAATACATCAACCCATGTTCTCCCATTAGAATCAATGTCATAATCCTGAAGTTGATATTTTTAATGGAAATAAACTCTAATCATCATTCAGGCTCCTCTCGTTTCAAATGTGGTGTAAGATGCTGTTCCTCCTCATCTCCAGTGGAATTGCATATTTTCAGACAGATTAAAATCTTTCCTACAATCTGCTCTGCGACCCGATGTTAAATCTTATCCTCCCACAGAGATCAGGAATCATGACAAGCTGATTTTTTTTTTTTACACCGAACAAAAAGTTAGTTTTCCTCAAATTATTCCAAGAAACAAAAACAAAAAAAGAAGCATCTGCAGTAAATTTCTTATTCTCTCTTCTTGGGTGTGAACAGTAATTCCCAGTTGGAAGCTCATGTGAGATACTCATGCATCAAGATGAATTTCTCGTGACGTCGCTTCATCTATCAAAGCTCAACTGAAGTGAAATAAAAAAGACTCACAGTCAGAATCACAGTGATGACGCAGACGCTGGTTTCTATTCATGGTCGAATGTGTGTGTTTGTTCACTGCACCATCGTCCGTGTGTGTTTACAGGTGTGTGTTTACAGGTGTGTGTTTTTCATGAACGCTTTGTCGGCCATATTCTCTACAGAGTGTTATCCATAAAGTGTGATTCTATTGTAAAGCACAAATGAATTCAATCACATTGTAAAGTTGAGCCAACAAAATAAAGAATAATCCAGCTAGCATAGACAAACATAAAGAAGGCCGACGTGACAGGTCCAAATCGTCTCAATCGCCCCCCGGTGGCTGGCTTTAGTACAGTAAGCTACAGTCGTAAACACAAACAGATGCACAGGTCTGATGTATTCACAGAGTGCATTTGATATCAGGTTCAACGAGACAGTGCCTCAAGGTCCATCAATAAAGGGATTTATCTCCCAGGTTATGAAAGGATTCATTACAGCAGACGAGGTTATCACAGCGGCTCAGCTGACGGTTTATGAAACAGATACTCAATAAGCTTCGACAAATCCTCCGCATCTGCCGCCATTTAGCAGCAAAACCTAAAAAATCCTCCACTTACAGAAGAAATGAAACATTCAGGGACAAAGTGGAGTCAGAAGTGATGAGTGACAGGAAGTGAGTGTTTGGCAGACTGAAGGAAATCATCTTAAAATAACTACACTGGTTTCTAATGTTCTTCACTGTCGTCTCAACTCTCAAAGATGCATTCGTCTGTCATCTACAGCGCTTTCATCTTTTGACTGTCGCAGGAGGTTTGGAGCGAATCCCAGTTGACATGATGAATGAAGATCAATTTTAAGCCACAGTTGGGACAAGGTGTTTTTTTTTTTTATCTACTTAGTTTAATGAATATATGAAAAGATCATATTTGGCAACGTTGCACTTAATAATAAATTCTCTGATTCAACAGTTGGTTGATTGAACTGCACGAACCTGTCGGTGCTCGTCCCACTGAGGATAAAGAGAAGAAGCATTACGAACCCAGACTGAGCCCAGACCCTCGAAGGCCACTTTCCTTCGGCATCATGTGTTTGTCATTGAGGTGAACCGTCAGGGGACATTTACTCCTCTCGGCTCACATCAGTGAATCAATAAAAGTAAAATGCTCTCAGAGTCGGAGCAGTGTCCTCGGCTCTCGCTCTCTGTTTTTCAACAGATCCGCTCATCGCGCACCGACAACATCAGACCTTTCATTTATTTAATCCCCGTCTTGGGACACAACATCACATTAATGTAACTCACCATGCACGTCAAGATGGACGACAACACCGGCACCAGCTCCTGAAAGATAAAGAAAATATGGTTTGATCACACAAACAAAAATCGAACATATGGTTTCAGATCAGCTGTTCGCTTAAGAGTTGAGTGAACTCTCATCAGTACATTTATTCAACTTATTTCAAATTCGTTAATTCAAAGAATTACATGCAAATAAATGATTAATTGCTGCGTACTTGTCACGTGTGTGTTAGCGTGTGCAGCTTCCTGTTTGTGTTTCTGACACGCGATGACTGGTGGAGCTGGTGTTGGAGAAAAAAATGAAAATGAGGAGAGCTGTGGGAATATGGATTGTATCTTGTTCAACACAATGATGGACTGCTCTGTATTGTTCTCTGTTGTGCACCGGGGATTGATTCTGTGTCTGCAGACACACACACACACACACACACACACACACACACACACACACACACACACACACACACANACACACACACACACACACACACACACACACACACACACACACACACACACACACACACACACTTTGTGTTTGTCATCCATCTGTGTTTCTATTTTTAGAGGATGTGAAATTAAAGCACGCTTCACCTCTTCAAGCTTAATAATTGGAATATTTTGTAGGTTTGAGCTTCCTCTCTCCGAGGGAATACAGAATACCACAATTCAATTAGGAGCAGGCCGGCGGCTCGCCCAAAAAGTAATAAAGTTGACAACATAATAACCACGAGAATCTAATCTCTCGGTGCTCCCTGAAATATACAGTGAGCTGCGTTCACACTGGAGGGCGAACAATCAAGTGGAAACGTAATTGCACGACTTCAGAGGAGGTGATTGTGTGAGTTTTACAGAGGAAACGCAGCATTTGATCAATTCAGAGCAGATCTGTCAGATCCAGTGAAAACGAACTCACACAGTGAAACGACACAACTGAGACTCACATGAAGACACAACAGAGTGTGAGAGCAGTTCCAGCCTGATGCTGCTGCTGCGGCTGCTGCAGGAGCTAATTATTATTAATGAGGGACAGGCTCATGTCCATCAAGTCACCGGACAAGTGGAATGTCTGAGATTTCCGTTTCAAACAAGACAACTGTGGTGGACAACGTGGACATCTGAGAATCCACACGTCACATGTTCTGCACCTGATCAGAGACGTGACCTGGTGGTGAAGTGGCTTCAGATGCAGCAGAACCATTTTACATCAAAATAAAATCCAGTCAGGAAACAGGATCTGTTTGTTTGTCTGATTTCACTTTGTGACTTTAACACTGAATCTGAACAAAACTTGATTTAATCTCACGATGGAAGTCCAACTCTTTAAACTCTAAAAATAATCTCTACATTCAGATAATGTTAGAAACAATCAGCTGTTTTAATTTCATTTACTCCAACACCACGTTTGTATCACAGTTCAACATCAGCTGAGAGTAAAAATGACTACATGTAGGTTTGTTCTAAATATTTGTATATTTGTATGTTTGTATGTTTAATCCGTTCAGCGTAAAGAAAAACATTTAATTTAATTCAGTGTTGTACTTACAGTGATGTACATGTGTATTTGTATATCACCAGGTTTTATAATCTGTGTCACTCACGTTACCACAGAGAATAATAACAGTTACATAATAAGATTTAAAATAGATTCTAATCTGAAGATCCAGAGGCCACATGGTGTCTAGAAAACACACACACACACACACACACACACACACTTCTATTGATATTTACTGTCAGACGCTGCTTCACTCGGTGAGACACAGAAACACTCGTCTCACTAATATATTTTCTCTCTTTCTCATTCACAGTTTTCTGTCACTGTAATTCTGCAGCGAGCTTCAGGATTAAAAACTTATTTCATCAGATCGAATCACTGACACATCTGATCGTTCTTCATCTCTCTGGACGACTCGACAGAAGAAAAGCAGCAAACGAACGAACGAGTGAGTGAGTGAGAGAGAGAGAGAGTGAGAGAGAGAGTGATTCCCCTGAGGCGTCGACACATTTAACCTCATTTCCTCTTCAATTAAACCGATCTGAGCCGATCCATCAACCTGAGACGAGAAAAGAAAGAAACACGACTTAATGCTTTTTATTGATTCATCTTTTTATCATCACCAGATCCCAGAGCTCGATCTAAACAGTGTGAACCTGAGCAGATTCTCAAACTTGTCCTCGTGCACTCAAGCAAACAGGCCTCAGGGTTTTTCCTCTCCTCTCCCTCTCTCTCCCCCTCTCTCTCTCTCTCCCCCTCTCTCTCTGAGGACAGGACACCTTTGTGCTGGAGGTAATGGGACGATAAGCTGCACAGACTTTTCTGGGCTTTTAGACACCATCAGGCTTTTAGACGGCCTCGGCCCTGAGTGGTTATGATGCCGGAGGGAGGACGCCGAGTTAAAACCCAAAGAAAATCAAATGAGACAAACTGAGAGAGGTTCAGGAAAAGAAGAAGAAGAAGGAAGAGGAGAAGAAGAAGAAGAAGAAAGATGTCTTGAGCTTAGACGGAGAAGAAGAAACTGAGTTGAATGAGCATTAAGATTTTCGATGAAAACAAACGTCAGATTCAGGAAGCTGCTCTTTGCTTGGTCCTGTGCTGCCCTCTAGTTGTACTCAGGAGTACAGTGC